TTTTTTTGAGACAGAGTCTCACTCTGCCGCCCAGGCTAGAGTGCAGTGGCACAATCTTGGCTCACTGCAACCTCCACCTCCCAGGTTCAAGCGAATCTCCTGCCTCAGCCTCCTGAGTAGCTGGGACTACAGACCATACTACCAGGATGGTCTTGATCTTCTGACCTCGTGATCTGCTTGCCTCGGCCTCCCAAAGTGCTGAGATTACAGGAGTGAGCCATCTCGTCCAGGCTTCTCATTTTTTTTTAATGCACACAGGTTTATTTTCCAATCACTGCTATATACTCCTACTCCCAACCGGCCATAAAAATAAAAATACGCATGGCTGGATGTGGTGGCTCACACCTGTAATCCCAGCACTTTGGGAGGCCAACGCAGGTGGATCACGAGGTCAGAAGATCAAGACCATCCTGGCTAACAGGGTGAAATCTCATCTTTACTAAAAATACAAAAAATTAGCCAGGTGTGGTGGCAGGTGCCTGTAGTCCCAGCTACTCAGGAAGCTGAGGTGAGAGGATCACCTGAACCCAGCAGGTCGAGGCTGCAGTGAAACCATGATCGTGCTACTGCACTCCAGCCTGGGTGACAGAGTGAGACCCTGTCTCAAAATAAATAAATAAAATAAAAATAAAGTACTGCAAAGAATTCTACTATCACAGTATGAATCATCCCCTAATTCAGGTGTTTTAAAATATATATTTTAGTACTTTGATTTTCTTTTAAAAGAGGGTACAATTACATAAACAGCTTCTAACATTTCTAAAGGACTTCAATATATGCCAGTCTAGTCATATTTTGGTTCCATCTGAATATTTACTTATTCATTCACTGAGTGACTACTACACTGCATGCCAAATACAGGACTAAACAGTGAGTGAGTTTGCAAGGAAGACTGAGTCTGGATTTATCCTATAAAGCCCACAGGTAATGGAAGGGAGTGACATCTTTGCCTAATTAGTGTAGTCAACAAAACTTAGCACACCAATTTAAAGATTTTTGAGCTGCCGCCAGGCGTGATGGCTCACACCTGTAATCCCAGTACTTCGGAAGGCCGAGGTGGGAGAATCATGAGGTCAGGAGTTTGAGACCAGCCTGGACAAATGGTGAAACTCCATCTCTACTAAAAACAGAAAAAATTAGCTGAGTATAGCGGTGGGCGCCTGTAATCTCAGCTACTCAGGAAGCTGAGGCAGGGGAATTGCTTGAACCCAGAAGGCAGAGGTTGCTGTGAGCTGAGATCACACCACTGCACTCCAGCCCAGGCAACAAGAGTTGAGATTCCGTCTCAAAAAAAAAAAAAAAAAAAAAGATTTTTGAGCTGTCAGCAAAAACTAACCTAAAGAGTATGGTTCTATAATGTAATATTATACAAGACTCAGAAGTTGGGAAACATGAATTCTAATCCTGGTTCTGCTAATGTGATGAAGAACCTTAAGCCTGGCTCTTAAAAAGTACTAGAACTCTGGCCTAGTACAGTGGCTCAAGCCCGTAATCCCAGCACTTTGGGAGGCTGAAGCAGGCAGATCACTTGAGGTCAGAAGTTCAAGACCAGCCTGGGCAACACAGTGAAAATACTGAAAATAGAAAAAGACCCAAAAAAATAGCGAGGTGCGGTGGTGCATCCCTGTGGTACCAGCTACTCGGGAGGCTGAGGCAGGAGAACTACTTGAGCCTGGAGGCAGAAGTTGCAGTGAGCCAAGATCACATCACTGCACTCCAGGCTGGGCAACAGAGCTAGACCCTGTCTCATTAATTAAGTAAATAGTAAGTACTAGAAGTCAGAGTTCTCATTTCTGAGATTAAAGGGTTTGACAAGATGATCTCTGAAGTCCCTTCCAGGTTGAACATTCTCTGATTGCATAAAGTTAAAATTGGTGCTGAAACTCACAGCAGAAAAATTTAAGTTTCTATTTCAGAAAAAAAGAGTAACACTAAGTGGAACAAATCAGAAATATACTGTTTTGTTTTGTTTAATTAAAGCTGTACGCTTCTTATTATCCAATATACTATGTTTCTATTATACTTTAGTAGCTATTAAAAATATAGTTCAGGGCCAGGCACATGGCTCACATCTGTAATCCCAGAACTTTGGAAGGTCATGAGGTCAGGAGTTCGACATCAGCCTGGCCAACATGGTGAAACCCCATCTCTATTAAATATATAAAAATTAGCTAGTGTGGTAGCATGTGCCTATAATCCCAGCTACTGAGGTGAGGCAGGAGAATCACTTCAACCCAAGAGGCAGAGGTTGTAGTGAGCCTGAGTGCAGATCCTGCCACTGCACCCCAGCCTAGATGACAGAGTGAGACACTGGCTCAAAAAAAAAAAAAAAAAAAAAATTCAGTTCAGATACTCACAGAGTACTGGAACAGAAAGAAGTCTTAAATAAATGAACCAACTCTTATTTTCAGAGTCCAGAGGAGGCTTATTAGGTCTATCAGCTTAATCTTTCAAAACTTACATTGGCAAATTTAAGATTTCAGCTTCTAGATGTGACTTTGCATAAAATTTCCAGATTAACTTTGAGAGAAATAACTTACTTGGCAGATCTTCTTTTTAAATCCAGACATTTCAAAATAATTTGAAATCTAATTTGTTTTTGTCAGAAGCCTAAATGGTTATTGCTTTTGGCAGAAAATTCTTCCCTTTGCATCCCTTCGAATAATTATAAAATTATTCTAATTTTCTTCTAATACATTTATGGTTTCATTTTTAAATATTTAACTGTGTAATCCACCTAAAATTGATTTTTATATGAGCTTTGACAGAGAGATCTTATTTTTAGCCAGTTATTTCATTCATTTTTCTCACTAATTTGAAATGCCGTATTTAATGTGTTCTTATATACACACACACACGTGTTTTTGCCTGACCTACTCTATTTCCATTAACCTGTCATTCTATTCTGGTTCCAGTACCACACTCTACTAAATTATAATTCCTTTTAATGCTTGGTAGTTTGTCTCCAGTCCCCTTTCCTCCCTTATCTTCACCCTTTTTCAACATTTTCCCGGCCACCTTTACATGTTTATTCTAAGCTTTGTGATGATTCTGTCAAGTGTTCCTAAAATAGTCTCACTATGATTTCGATTAGGATTGTATTATACTGTTTTTGATAAAAATGGATACCTTTTTTTAAAATTTGATCGCCTCTGAACTTCAGAAAATGGATACCTTTACAGACTTCTAACAATGTTTATATCAAAATTTTTAAGTCTTACAAAGTGTTTTTAAAAGTTTGTATGTTTACTATTTTATTTCTAGCTATAACATATATTATGTTTGCTACCATAAAGACATGCCATCATCTAAGCAACTAAAAAAGTGCTGAAAAGTACAGTGCCAAGAATAGACCCATTACATCATTAAAAACCTCCCTCCAACTGAGTCTGTGTGTGGTCCTTCAAGCAGAGTTTTTCATTTTTTTAATTGTCCTTATCCCTAACTTGCATATTTTCATCTTATTCAAAAGAACATCATGAGATACCTTGTCACATGACTTAGGAAGCCTAAATCTGTTATTTCTACCATATTTTCCTTACCTACCCAAATAACTTTGTCATAGGAAAAAAGGTGGGTTAATCTGACTGAATACAATTTGAAATTAATGAATCCAACCCAGGTCTAGTGATGACCACTTTCCCAAGCACTTGCAAATCATCCTCACATCGTTTAAACTCTTACTTGTGATTGGTAAGTATACAACATTACTTCTAGAATCAAGTCTTGTGAATTTAAGAAAAAAAGTGTGTGTGGGACAGTTTAGTTATTTTAGAGAGATAAATGGTTCTAAAATATTCAAATCACCCTAATAAACATGGTTTGATTTCTGGAATGCATATATGACAGAGAAAGGCCATCAAAAGCCTCACCGTAGTTGAGAAAGGCATTACCTTTGCTCCACAGTCTGCTCCTTTCTGAATGCAAAATCCAATGAACCGTGGGTCTGCCACTTTTACTAATATGTTGTCAACACAGTAAACATGAATGCTCCAAATGCCTCTTTGCTCCATATCCTCCACAATATTCTGGGCTGCAAGTGCCCGATAAAGACCACCATTCCCATCTGGAAGATAAAATAGCCCATTAGTAGCACACCAAAATCCATTATACAGGTAATACAAAGATTGTTTCAAAACTGGGGTTAAGATCCCTGAAAGCCAAAATTCACGTTACAAAGGCAAGAAAACTGAGTATCTATAAAGAAGGAATCAGGTATCAAAAAAAATTATAGTATTTTGAAGGTCACTTAGCATTAACTATTCAGAGAATAACACTATCAATGTAAGATCAGGCAACCCCAAAAAATGTATCTTTTTTTATTTTTTAACTCAGCCCCTTCTAGTAATATATTGTACAATATAAAATCTTTTATCAGGCAACGATTATTTCATAAAATTTCAAGTTTTATTAACATTTGTATGATTCAAGTTAGCTCTGTATTTATAACCCTAAAGCTGACAATTTCACCCATCTCAGAAATAAAAATACATAAGTATTTTATAGCAAATCATTTGTTAAACAAACAGATTGATAGGAAGGCCTAAGGTGATTTAAACTAGATACAAATAAAGCCTCCTCTTTCTCCATCTATTTATAATGGTGCTTTAATGTACTTTGTCCAATAACAACCTTAGCCAGAGCTTAAATGATGAAAAATTGGACTTCACAAAATACAGCTAAGAATAGTAACTCTTCCATTAACCCAAAAAATTAAGATGAAATAAAAGCCTACATCCAGAGAGCATCACTGTTAATATTATTTTCAGCCTTTCCTACAAGTACAGATTCACATAAATATAAATCTGTCATAAATATATATTCACATAAATATAAATCTCAATTTTATAGATTGAGATTATACTCAGAGTCACTGAATGTGGCTAGACAGGCAATACACTGTCCAATTCTAGTGGGTTCCCTTAACAAGCTGTGATATGTATGCACTACCTGGAATTGTGCAAAGCAGTGCCCCTAATCATAGGCTGTATACAGTTTTTCATTTTGTATTCTCTTACTTAACCTACTGAAATAATCTTTATCATTTAATGCCACCAGTGATTTTAATGCTATTTAAGAATTAATGCTATGTATAAACTACAATTTAGCCTCTCATTTATTAAATAGCATATGGTTTCCAAGTTTTCACTATAATAAATAATTTAGCCATGAATTTGCTATATGGCCAGGCACGGTGGCTCATGCCTGTCATCCCAGTACTTTGCAAGGCCAAGGCAGGTGGATCACTTGAGGTCAGGAGTTTGAGACCAGCCTAGCCAACGTGGTGAAACCCCATCTCTACTAAAAAAACAAAAAATTAGCTAGGCGTGGTGGTGTGTGCCTATAATCCCAGGTACACAGGAAGGTGAGGCAGGAGAATCGCTTGAACCGAGGAGGCAAAGGTTGCAGTGAGCCAAGATCATGCCACTGCACTCCAGCCTGGGCAACAGAGTGAGACTCTGTCTCAAAAATTTAAAAAAATAAAAAATAAAATACTTGAGAATGAATACCCTGAACGCTGCTCGAATTGCTTCATAAAGCAGACATTCACAACAAGTGTATCCATTCTACCAATGGGCATTTTTATCTATTTAAATCATTTTCAAACTGCAAAAAATACATAAATTTTAATTTTTAAATACCTAAATCACCATGTTAAAAAGAAAACAACATTTGATGATTTGTGTTATTATCCTTTCTAGTCACCATTAAATAAGGATGATTACAAACCTGGAGCCATAGAAACTTTGTTCTTCTCTTCCAAAATAATTTTCCCATCAAAACTCATGGCAGGGAGCATTCCTTGCTGAAAAAAGATTACATTCTCTTTTTTTAAACCGAAGTACTTGTGCTTGGTGAAGAACTCCTTTGTAGATTCCATTGTTCTGCCACTGGTCATTATATACCTTACAAGAGAAAATTACATCTTCTAAGCAATAGTGCTAGGGAGATTAGGGCAAAATAAAGCTTTATCTATTTTCTAAGCTAAAGATATCTCTGAAAGCACTTGCTCATTATTTTGACTTCCTTCATGTTTTTTTTGGGTAAGACACATTTATTAGCTATTACCCAAGGGGAATTTCTTTCAGTAATTTCATCAACCCTTATGTATAAAATAAATCTACTTAACAATATTAAACATACTAAACACACCTCCTTCCAGAGAACCTATTAAATGGCTTAAGTAAACATTTTAGAACTCTGTGAAAGTGTATTTCAAATTTAAAACTCCTATTCTGAGTAAACAGACAGAAAAGGGCAACTGTAATATAGTTTCATGATCTCTTGGGATTCTTTTTATTAAAATTTGAAATGCAATCTGGGCTCTGGCAACTCTCCATTTAAAAAACATAAAAGTATAATTACACTTTCTGTTGTCCCAAAAATCCAACCCATGCTAGTGTAGCAAAGAAGAAAAAAATTATATCTACAACTATAATTAGTGACTGTGGTAGCTTTTGCCCTGACCAGAATGTAAACTACATTTAAGAAGGGATTTTGGTTACTGATTTATCCTCAACACCTAGAAACAGGCACTCAATATTTGTTAAATAAATAAACAAAATGGTATCATTTCATACCACAGGAGCTTTCTGTTTAACAAATTATCCTGAATATTTTGAACTGCAGGTACAAAAGGTTTGGATATATTTGGAAGATGACAAAAGAAGTGGCTAAACTTCTCTGCCTAAGAAAAGAACAAGGCCAGTCATGGTGGCTCATGCCTGTAATCCCAGCACTTTCAGAGTGTGAGGAGATCACAAAGTCAGGAGATCCAATACCATTCTGGCTAGCACAGTAAAACCTTGTCTCTACTACAAATACAAAAAAATTAGTCAGGTGTGGTGGCACGCGCCTGTGGTCCCAGCTACTCAGGAGGCTGAGGCAGGAGAATCACTTTTGAACCCGGGAGGCAAAGGTTGCAGTGAGCCGAGATCGCTTTACTGCA